AAAACTATCAGGCCATACCAACGGCTCTTCAGTAAAATTTTGGAAGACTTGATGGGCAAATTTCGCGACCTAGCTATTTGCCGCGCTGTTTCTGACCTCCCAAACAGCAGCCAAGGCCAGCCACTGCGCGCCATTGCTTACGGTCAACGCCGCGCAATACACCGATATCGAGGAAGGTTTCCGCAAAACGGCGTCGCTTAAGCTGTATCAGCGCCCTTTCGGTGGATTTTTCCTGTTCTTTCGTGAAGCCCGACGAGGTTCAAAAAGATGCTTCCAATATCCTGCACCAGAAGTACGGCTTTCGTGACTAGGATGCAAGATCACAGGGGAGTCTGGCGCAGAACCAACTCAACCGTGACGCCGACGCACCGAGGAAAGAATGTACCCGTGGCATTCTTTAAAGGCGTATTCCAGCCAAATTTACCTGAGACTGTAGATGGCTTGCCTTCGATAATTTTAGTCTGATGTGGTTTACTTGTCTGGCATTGTCAATACCATTTTTTGGGTTGTCCCCATTCGTCTTTGGCACTTCGGTTTTGCGCAGGTCCAGTCGCAGAGAGATACAGGGTGAGTAGGAGAGGGACCAACCAAAATTGTTCCTACCCATAGTACATCTCCGCTCTGGGGGCAGAGCGGAGTCATATCCCAGTTTCCCTTGTTACATTGATAGAGGACGCTTACAGTCCATGAAAACAGACCCCCCAAAAAAAAAACATCAATTTCGCATTTCCCCGAGGGCGCGGTCGTTTTTGATCTGAAATTTCCTTTTTGGGAAACATCTCCGAAGTCTGAAACGGCGCTCTGCCCCAAAACCGTCTTTTCGGCGCCCACAGCTTCCCCAAGCGTCAGGGCCTTGTTGTGGACATCTTTGGCACCTTTGGTGCCCCCCTGGTGGGTCATTCGGTCGAACCCCACGGCGCTGTCACACCCATCAACCACTTTGATCTGTTTTCGACCGCGCGCTTTTTTGTTTCCCTTTTTTTCACCGCGCCCACCTGGAATATGTTCCAACAATGCATTCAAATAATGTATGAATGTAACAGACCGAGCGCTTCGCCCCTCATCTCACTGCATGCCAAGGTTTGCTGTCACATCACACCCATCAACCAGTTTGATCTGTTTTCGACCGCGCGCTTTTTTCTTGCCTTTTTTTTCACCGCGCCCACCTGGAATATGTTCCAACAATGCATTCAAATAATGTATCAATGTAACAGACCGAGCGCTTCGCCCCTCATCTCACTGCATGCCAAGGTTTGCTGTCACATCACACCTATCAACCAGTTTGAACTGTTTTTGACCGCGCGCTTTTTTCTTGCCTTTTTTTCCACCGCGCCCACCTGGAATATGTTCCAACAATGCATTTAAATAATGTATCAATGTAACAGACCCAGCGCTTCAGCCCTCATCTCACTGCATTCCAAGGTTTGCTGTCACATCACACCTATCAACCAGTTTGAACTGTTTTTGACCGCGCGCTTTTTTCTTGCCTTTTTTTCCACCGCGCCCACCTGGAATATGTTCCAACAATGCATTCAAATAATGTATCAATGTAACAGACCGAGTGCTTCGCCCCTCATCTCACTGCATGCCAAGGTTTGCTGTCACATCACACCTATCAACCAGTTTGAACTGTTTTCGACCGCGCGCTTTTTTCTTGCCTTTTTTTCCACCGCGCCCACCTGGAATATGTTCCAACAATGCATTCAAATAATGTATCAATGTAACAGACCGAGCGCTTCGCCCCTCATCTCACTGCATGCCAAGGTTTGCTGTCACATCACACCTATCAACCAGTTTGAACTGTTTTCGACCGCGCGCTTTTTTCTTGCCTTTTTTTCCACCGCGCCCACCTGGAATATGTTCCAACAATGCATTCAAATAATGTATCAATGTAACAGACCCAGCGCTTCAGCCCTCATCTCACTGCATGCCAAGGTTTGCTGTCACATCACACCCATCAACCACTTTGATCTGTTTTCAACCGCGCGCTTTTTTGTTTCCCTCTTTTTCACCGCGCCCACCTGGAATACGTTCCAAAAATGCATCCAAATAATGTATAAATGTAACATACCGAGCGCTTCGCCCCTCATCTCACTGCACGGTAAGTTTGCCTGCACATCACACCCATCAACCACTTTGATCTGTTTTCGACCGCGCGCTTTTTTGTTTCCCTCTTTTTCACCGCGCCGACCTGGAATACGTTCCAACAATGAATTCACACAATATATCAATGTAACAGACCAAGCGCTTCACCCCTCATCTAACTGCACGGTAAGTTTGCCTGCACATCACACCCATCAACCAGTTTGATCTGTTTTCGACCGCGCGCTTTTTTCTTGCCTTTTTTTTCACCGCGCCCACCTGGAATATGTTCCAACAATGCATTCAAATAATGTATCAATGTAACAGACCGAGCGCTTCGCCCCTCATCTCACTGCATGCCAAGGTTTGCTGTCACATCACACCCCTCAACCAGTTTGATCTGTTTTCGACCGCACGTTTTTTTGTCTCCCTTTTTTTCACCGCGCCCACCTGGGATATGTTGCAGAGATGCATTCAAATAACGTATCAATGTAACAGACCGAGCGCTTCGGCCCTCATCTCACTGCATGCTTAGTCTACCCCTACGACACCCCCATAAATCATGCTACTCTGATCCATGCCGCCCTCGGCACCGGCGTCATCGCTCCCATTTTGTACCAACACACTGTGAGTATCACATAGCTAACCCTTCCGATTTCAGCTAGGGTCAGCAATTCTCTGTCGCCGACGCATTGTTTCGGCCATCCAATTTAACAATGTGATACTCGTCTACATAGTGAATACTTAGGTACATGTACCTCCACGAACTCCAATGCAAATAAGTCAAATTTGGCACGGCCAACCAGGTAATTAGGGTTATTAGTACAGCACTGATCGGCACGTCGATTGCCTGATTGGCGACTCGGGAGAAGTCTCTTCGCCAGCGCACAATACTTAAAGCGCTATATCCGCCCTTTTCTCCCTCACGCCACTCTCAGCAAACCCCCACTCCCTAGGTATGTGTTTTACCTCTGCGCCTCTCCCTTGTCCCAGCCGTGCAACCGCCGTAGCGCCGTAAGTGGGCCTTACCTCAGGCCCTACGGAGGCGCGAAGGTCATCGCCCGCTGGCGGCAAGGGGGGGGACGCGCGCTTGACTTATTCCCAGGCCCATCTTTTTCAAACGGTATGTTCTAATCCACTTTGCAGCCATAACAACGCGCCAATGGCGCGTACAACGCGCAGTGGCCTGCAATTCTCGCCATTTGCACTCGACGCCATCGACCTCGGCCAAACCATTCAGCCAGTGCACATAGTGCGTTCTCGGTGCTCCATTGAGCCTAACTATATTCTAACCTCCCCTACTATAGTCGGGGATGATCGCATCAGTGATCCGATCTCCTCTAAATCAGTGGCGATGCACCAGATCCAGGGCACCGCCACCACCTTGGCTCTCTCCCGCTGCCCATTACCGCCGTCCGCTGCCCTCCCTCCTCGCTGGGTGGCTGTGCCCTCGTTCTGGTGCACCGCCACCGGCCTGTCCATCCTCTGCTTCTCCTCTCCGTGGCCTTCCGCCATCGCCCATCTCATGTTTTGCCAACCATAAATGTCTCCCCATCTCGGTCCTCAACGTTACCCACCCGTCCTCTACGCTGTTGTCTTTGGTCTCCCCCTTTTTTCCTCTTCTCTGCGCAACACTGTCAACTCCACTGAACTCTGGTCCCACACTTCTCGGTCATTGGCATTTTCAACCCTGTTGTTGTCGACACCAAATAAAAATGTATGTACCTTTCTCCTGTTCTCTGCGCAACATTGTCAACCCAACCGAACCTCGGTCCTACCCCTCTCGGTCCTCACCCTTCTTTGGTGCTGTCGTCGTTGACCACAAACGAACCTTTTCCTTGTGCTATGTGCACATTGTAAACCGAACTCTGCTCAACATTACCAACCTTTCTTTGACGCTGTTCTCACCAAACGCAAAGCTGTGTGCATCTTCCCTGTTCTGCGCGCAACAGGGTACACTGAACTTTGCTGCTGTCGCCGACAACCCACACTCGACGCACACGTCTCTTCTCCTTCTCTCAATCTGGCCATCTGCTGTCACTGTCCAAAACAATCCGCTTCGTTGCTCCTACTCCGGCTGTTTGTCGTCTCACTCGTTCCTCTCGTTGCCCATCGTCCTCAACGTTGCTTCCATTCTGCTGCATTTCTCGCAGCCCTGGGACCAACGTCGCAAATCCCGTAGATCGCGTTCCCTCTGTCCTCCTGCTTTATGTAGCATACCTCCTCCTGTGGCGATGCACCAGATCCGCTGCACTGCCACTCCCTTGATTTATCTCTAAAAGCAGAGTACCCTCCGTCTACGCTCGGTGGCTATGCTCTCGTTCCTAAGCATAGCCACACACCTGTTCTTGTGGTCCCTGTCGCTGATTTTTGCCCACCCTCATCGTCTTGTCTCCGTTACGAACATGATGTCATGCTCAATGTTGTGATCTGAACCCTGGATCTCACTGCCGCTGTCGCTGACAGCAGCACTTCGTATGCATTCCGAATAGTCATGCCCCAGTCAATCTCTTTGTCTTCGTCGATGTTCTAACTCGTAATTCAAGTAATCAAGCTTTGCGGATCCACACATGGCTGAGTCAGCCCTTCATCTGTCCCATGTTACATGTCCTACAGCTTAACGCAGCAATTCGACACGGTTGTTGAAAGGAGCCTTGGAGCAATCTACGGTTGACGTCAAAAACACAGGCCCTCGTGTCGCGTATTCCCTTGCTGCATGCTGCAGCCCACACGGTGCGGTGGTCGCTGGATTCACTCATCCTGGCATCACCTTTATCGAGGAGACGCGGGTTCGAATCCCGCTGTGGGCATAGTGTTGTAGGTTGGCTTTTTTTTTTTTTTTTTTTTTGCGACTGCAGTGGGTGAGGTTAGAACATAGTTAGGCCTTCATCTCGCGTGTTGCCTTCCTGCATGCTGCAACCCACACGGTGCGGTGGTCGCATCCCTTGATCCAATCTGGCATGATTATATCAAGGAGACGCGGGTTCGAATCCCGCTGTGGGCGCTATGGGCATAGTGTTGTAGGTTTTTGTTTTATTTTATTTTGCGACTGCAGTGGGTGAGGTTAGAACATAGTCAGGCCCTCATGTCGCGTGTTGGCTTGCTGCATGCTACAGCCCACACGGTGCGGTGGTCGCATCCCTTGATACAATCGGTCCATCCATGCATGATTATATCAAGGCGACGCGGGTTCGAATCCCGCTGTGGGCATGAGCATAGTGCACCAGGTTTTTTTTTTTTTTTTTTTTTTTTTCTGACTGCTGGGGTGAGGCAAGAATATCGTTACTGGGGCATGGCTTGATTTCTCCCTAACGGCTGTGGCACATTGATGATTGCTAATCCATGCGATCATTCCCTACTTGCTCAAATCAAAGCGGCATGCAATGCCGCTTTTTGCAATGCCGCTTTCTGGCCCGACCCCAAAGGCCTCACATTGAGTTTCGGCTTACTGCATGCTGCAGCCTACACGAAACTCTATGTCCTTTCGCATTATTTCCGAGGTGGCGTGGGTCAAATCCCCTCTGTGGGCGTACAATTTTCTTTTTCATTTCTGACTCCATCATCCTCGACGGTCGTTCCATCACCCCATTGTCCGTCGCGGTGTCGTGAATCTCTCGAGACCCCTTCCTCTCGATTCCGCGGTGCATGTTGATAGTCTGCCGGACTGGGCCGTGTTGCCGTTGATGCCGCTTTCTGTCTCCCTATATCGGGCTGTTGCCATGCACGGAAGCAATTCCGTCGGTTATGTCGGTTAACTTTTGCTTCCACTCTCCCTTGCGCATGTTCATGGACATGAATTGGAGGACTGGTGGTGCGTTTTTTTGCTCGGTTTGAAGCTCCCTCCAACAAAATCCAGCCATTTTCCCACGCCCCTGTTCTTGACTCAGTTTCGCTCCCATCGGAATTTACTCGTTCGTTGCTGCACTTTGCGCTCCGGCCAGCGTGAACATTGTGAATAATTTTACGGGCACACTCGCATTGCACCGCGTTGTGTGAGCCGGTCGGTCATTATCTTCCAAACAGATCGTGCAAAGGCGCTTGTCCCGGATATGCTTCATCACGTTCCCTGCTATCCTAATTTGGCTCGTGTTTTTTTTCTTTACCGACCTCACGAACAGCGGCCAAGGCTAGCACTTCTTCACCTAAGTTCAACGCCGTGTGCACTACCGACGGGGAACAAGCTTTAACCCGAACGGCGGCGCCAATTTCAGCGCCCTTTCGCTGGATTTCGCCATTCATTTCTTCCGACATGTTACCCTGTACAATATTTTCCCAATAATAGTTCCCATGTTACACCTATACACCTATGTTAATTTGGCAGCAATCCGACACGGTTATTGAAAGGAGCCTTCGGGCAATCTACGGTTGACGTCAAAAACACAGACCCTCGTGTCGAGTATTCCCTTGCTGCATGCTGCAACCCACACGGTGCGGTGGTCGCATCCCTTGATCCAATCTGGCCTGATTATATCAAGGAGACGCGGGTTCGAATCCCGCTGTGGGCGCTATGTGCATAGTGTTCTAGGTTTTTATTTTATTTTATTTTGCGACTGCAGTGGAGGTTAGAACATAGTTAGGCCCTCATGTCGCGTGCCTGCAGCCTACAAAGTGTAGCTGGTACACCCTATCTCTCTGTGGCGTGGCTTAGCTTTCTATCTCATGTGGCTGTACACTTGGACCTTCCGATCAGGTGGCAGTGCTTGTTGGCTACCCGAGATGTCCGGGGGTGAAAAAAGTGTCAGTAAATTCTTGAAAAAATTTAGAGAGGTTGATATGAGGTTTGTGATCACCTTTTGGGTGCAATTTTCTTTGATGGCATCAATTCCTGGAGCGCAAAACGCAAAATACGCGACCAGAGCCAGTGGTTTCAAACACTTTAATATGTGGAAATTCCTTGAGGTGGCAAATGCCCTTTTTTGGGCTCTGAGACAGTAAAAGGCTGATATATCAGGAACTGCTGCATGGATTTGCTTAAAACTAGGATCATTTTGAAGCTGCTGCTTCTGTCCTCTGTCAGGGCGGTATGATGGCATTAATACTATCACCAAAAAAGGGAATTCAAAGGTTAGAGATGAATTACAAGCCATTTTTCAAGAGAAATTCAAATCTGTGTATGTAAATTGCACTAAACACCCAGACTCCCTTGGAGCCAAGTGCCAGCAACTCACCAATCCACCTTCCGAGAATCAAGGCCCACCAATCAAATTTCAGGCCTCGAAAAGTCCATCATGCAGTGAGCCACATCACCACAATGGCCCCAATTTTGTCATCGGTAATTTTGTATCAAGAACCTGTGGCACTTTTAGGGACAGCAGTGCATGCTCACCACCAATTTCGCAGTCCATGCATTGCTTCATCGCGAGGAAAAGTGCCTGGAGTTTCTACTGGTCCGCAGCGTGGTCTGTCATCATGCCAGTGATCTTCAAAAAAAAGGTCCAAAAGTCCTCTGGGTATGTGCGACCAGTGGACTCGCATTATAAGTGTCGTACATATCTTCAATTAGCTTCAGCTAGCCAGCCATCTATTCTTCACTCGTGTGGTTTGGTGCTTGTGTAAGGCCGAGTGCGAGAAGTTTCTCCTTGACTGTTATAAATCGCGACTCATAATTGTGATGTTTGTGGCCGGTTCCATCACCACTGGCAATGAAATCTGTTGATATAGTTATTTAGGAGTGTGAATTGAATGAATTGAATGAATTTAAGGACACGTACCATTGGCATGCTTTATAGCATCCTCCTTCAAAGATTGGGTCAATAGCTTCAATATGCCTGACGAGGATCGTCCTGGTCTACCCCTGGAGCTCCTTATGCCAAACTGCGATCCTCACGATGAAGCCTGACAACGTGACCTTGGCCCAGCCCGACCTCCTCGAGGGCTGGTTTTACTGCAACCCCGGTAACTGCAAACTTTGCCTGAAGCCACATTTCAAACATCTGGCCATTCCCAACACCACCTTTACCATCCTCTTCGTGTGCCCCCATCACCCTGATCTCGTGGATAATGAATTGGGTCTACCCCCCAAACAAAGTGGTTGCCAAAATCCTGCTCAAATCCCACCAACATCAGATCATTGGTCAATGCATTCCATGGCAATAGACAGGTTGCTCAGCACCCACCGAGCCAGCTGGCTGATTTGCTGTGCACAACAATATATAGTGCGCGCCATACTGTAGGGTGACACCATATTCCAGAGGGGGACACCCTATTCCAACATACCGGAAGCGTTGTTGAAATGTCGCGTAGCGACAGTGTGCGCCACATTCCAAGGGAGACGTCATATTCCTCAGTTAATTTAATATTTATTGACGCCCTATTCACTAGGAGACACTCTGCTTAGTGAAACTGGCGCCATATTCCAATATTACAGTGCGCACTATATTCCAGGGGCGACACCATATTCCTTTGTTTGATTTATGTCATCGACGCCATATTCCAGGGGGACGCCATATTCCTCGTTTAAATCAATATTATAGGCTGGGGAATATGGCGCCATATTCTCGGATGAGATACATAGGGTTTTCTATGCTCTGGACACGTTTTTTTGTGCGAGATCTTGCAAGATCTTGCCAGATTCTGCAAGATGTGTGAGATCTTCAGTGATCCGCGACTTTGGATCCATCGCTTGTGCGAGATCTTGCGAGATCTTTGGTTGTCGAAGATATTCCACCATCTTAAAAGATTCTGTCAAGTGTTACTTCAGGTTCTCTTCCATGATTTCTTCCAATATCTCGCTATTTCTCAAGCATTCATCGTCTTGGTAAATGCACACCTTCTTGCAAGGTCTTTCGACATCTTGCATGCACATTATCTCCCCCAGGGGACCCTGTGATTCTCATGCTGTAGCCATATGGCTCACACCGTGGCCTATCAGAGCTTATCACAAGGGCATATCTTGGAGCTCTTGACTTGCCTCCCATCACAAATGCAGCCCCGCTGTGATCGCTCTGGAACGGCAGATACGAAGCGGAAACGGCGATCGACAGAACCACTGCACATGGAAACAATGCCAAAGCCAAAAGGCGAACGGAAACGTAGCGAGAGCGGACATTCGATTATGAGACAACACTATACGTGAATGAAGCTGCGCGAACGCGCTGAACGAACGGAAATGAAAACCAACAAGAGTGGACATTCGTTTCTGGGACGACACGCAGAACTACACGAGAACGGAAATCGGAGACCAAGAACGCGACAAGCACTTACATGCACACGCCACAGATGTGGCGAGACTCCATCGCATTCTCAATGTTTTCTCTCCTCTTCGGAGGAAAGCCGTCAGACGGGACGGATCAGCGACGGAAGAACCGACACTTATAATTAGGGTGCTATTTCGACCGAGTGTTTCAGATTGCACGACAGGGCCAACCGAACTGAACATTCGAGCCGTAGGAGATGGTGAGATTGAGATTTAGGCCGAAGTTAGCTCAGAACTGCCGAATTTTCTGGACCGGGATTTTCCGGATTGCCATTTTTCTGATGACTGCCACTGAATTAGGTTGACATTCGAGAAATAAATACCGAAGGTGACGGGTAACGCTATAAACACTTGTTCAAAATATTATAGTATAGCAGGCTGTACCCATCCGAGTGTGCAGCGGCAGAGGGTGTCCACATATCCAGCCCCGCACCACACACAATTATCTATATACCAATCGAACACTTCGGGAGAGCGTCCTCAAGTTCGATTCGAAGCATTATCAATGGATTGAGTCGTCGATGTATGAATATTGGCATGCACTTGCACCCATCAGAGGCTCTTGAATGACTGGGTGAACATTCCCGAGATGCCCGAATCCATTACGCATCACGGGTTTTCGGAAGCCTCATCCAGTCCTGAATGAAGAGGGTCCCAGACTCGACCGAGGGAAGTGCACGAGGGACCCCAGGCGTAAAGCGGTGTGAGAATCCCAATGGTTCAAGCAGCGACTGGTGATGCACGCAAACAACTTAAAAAATGAATATCCCCAGCGGAGTGAGGCAATTATATTAGGGAAGACGAGTTAG